CCCCTGCCATTTCTTCTTGTTGTTTTCCCCCAGCCACTCAATATTTCCTCTGTCATATCCATGTTGCTCTTCAGTCAGCTAGCACTCACCCAGGCCACACTTTTGTGTAGACAGTGGGAACACTGATTGATCACACTATCTGGGTCCAATGGAATGGAGATGTAGCACTGAGTGTCACTTGGTCAGTATCCCTCCTTCTGGTCCCTGTACATATTGAACAGGAAGCGTGATCAAATAAAACCCTGTGGCAGTCTCACCAGAGTGAGTTCCCCAAGTAGATGAGTAACCATCCAAAACTACTCTCTGGTCCTTCCAGAGAAAGATGAAAGGAGTTATTCAAGCTCTGCTCGGTCTGTCCCTGACAGGGTGCACAGGCACGTCAACAATGCCTTGCAGTCAGTGGAAAAAAGGCATGATAGATCTAAAAGAATCAACCTGATCGGTTGATCTTTGCCCATCACCAGAAGAGTTTAGAAGATGGAGGACAATCAAAATTTCAAAGAAGAGTATTACCATATTTTCTCATTTAAAACAAAAAGTACAATGGACAAATTATTGTTCCTATTCAGTTAGGTGTTCGGTACGTGGTGATGAGCATGGTATAAATGTCTGAAATACTCAAAGGTAGGTTTTAATATTGTTACAAATGTGCAGAATTAAGAAATGGGGAGTAAAGAAATCTCATTACTGACCTTTTTTTGAATATACATGGTATCACATCTTTTCAAAATGTTTTCAGGCAAGCTTGTGACATATTAGGATGCCATCTTTGAACATATATCTCTGATAAAGAGGGAGAATGTGGAACTTAAAACAAGCTAATCTTTGTGTGGAGTTTTAGATTCCCATTGCAAAACAGTGGTAAAAAAATCTAAATTTGCTGTTGTTCACATTTTAACAAGTGTCGAAGCCTCTGCCCAAGTTGAATCATTAGGATCAATATTAAAAACGTAGGGCCAACTTTAGAAAACAATGGAAATTAGGTGAAAATATATCTTTTAAAATCTGAACCTTAGGCTCATATTTCTTTAACCCTTTGGGCAGATCCTTAGCTGATCTTCTGGGGGCTCAGGACAAAGCCAGACTGGCAAAAAATAGAGATGTAATTGTATTTGTGCCATATTTTTAAAATATTTGTCCATATGGTTACAACACGTTTAATCATGTACACTAACTCTTCCCTTGAACTTCCTACTGTCAAACTGCAAAATCTTCAACTAAATCTCGGTAAATTCCCTATTGAAGCAGCTAGCTACAGCTGAATGCGCCAGGGGAAACCAAGGGACTAAACCTTGCCCCAGGAAAATCAAATAACCACAAAAAATCTGGAAGAGCAAGGACACCATCCTCCATAAGGAATTGTAACATTTAAAACTAGAATACTAAAGTATTAAATTAAACCTCAAAATTAGTCTGATTTTTAAAAAAACTAGTAATACATACAGTAAGTGTTTTTTTAAAATCACTTTGGAATTAGTGTAACATAATCTGTTAACTTAAAATTCCATCTGTCCTACAGGAGGTTGGTATCTTTTCTACAGGAACTCAGTTACTCAATGGAGTTGTCCCTGCAGGACTGGTGGAATTCTAAGGGTCCAGGACCATACTGTGAAAGAGCTACAGCTCTAGGGCTACAATTCAGATTACTAATGAGACCTGCCAACCAGGGTGCTAAGTTTGACCCCCCACAAAACAATCACTGTTTCAAGGTTTTAACAGTACCCATGCAAATAGGATATGTTAAAGGTGGAGGGTCTGCGTAGGGTTTCAGCCTTAACTCTGCGCTTCCTTGCTTTTCTGAGGTTGTCAGCTATTTGCATTACTACAGCAAATAATTTTTTTAGTTTAATATCTTACTTATCACAGAAAACCAGGGTCCAGTTACTTAAGGTTTCAGTTGGACGTGGAATACGACTTCCTACGCTTGTCATGCATCAAACTGTTATGGCTGGCAATTGTTTAAAAAAATTCATTTTGTTATGAACTAGCCTGTTTTTCAACTGGGCTGTTCAGAGATGGATTGCTTTCTGGAGTTTTTGACAGGTGTAATTGTTAAGGCGTCATCTGTTCTTGTTTGCACAAAATACATTTTAGCCAACTGTAGGACTTGCCCGCTAATCTTTCTCACATCATTCCATTCTTTGCTTGCCACTAGACAAATCCCCTGTTATTTGACCAGATGGTGGAAAATCCATTCTCATGATAAGTTGCTTCTAGTTTGCATTTAGATTACCTGCAAAAATGGAACAATTTACTACTCTGCCTCTAACCATCTCTTTCCTCCTTTTTTCCCTTAGTTTGACTTCTTGTAACTAATTATTTAAATTCTGCCCTGTGAGTTAAAATTAGTCATAGCTTACATGTTTCACATATATGTAAATGCACTTAAGTTCTACCTCCAGTTGTATGATGGGTCCATCTAGAGTTTAAGTGACATGTAGAGATGGGAGGATGGGCTGTCCGATGTGCAAACACAGCACTTTATAGTAATTTCCCAATTGAAAGGATACTTTTGAACTTTTTAGTGTAAGTATGCAACCTTTTAAAAACAAAATCAGGTGAAGGAATGCATGTAGCTTTTTTGATACCACACACAGCAAGGAAAGAATACAAATATTAAATGAAATGTGATTTTTGGTTTGATTCTTAGGCATACTGTTAGCTCTGTTTCTAGTCTCTTTGGAAAACAACCTTCTATAGCAGCTATATTCTTGATAAAATTTCATGTTGATTTTTTTGCTGTCATGAATAAAGTGGCAAATTTACTCTGTCGAAAAGCTTATATGGAAATAAGTGTTTGTTTTTAAAATCATTCAAAATTTAGCTAATGTTTGGTTGAGCTAACCATTGTAGATTGATTGGACTCAAATACTCCTCAGTGCTTTAATTTTTAATTCAGGAAAAAATACAAAAAAATCAATTTTTCAAAGCCTAAAATAGAACAGGAATATGTAGTCCCCAGAGTAAATAGCCAAAATACAGTTTGATCTTGGGCAAAATCAATTTTTTGTGTGTGGAACCTGTGAGATCTACTATCCCTGCTGATGTATTGTATTAAACAACGAGCTATCAAAATTAATTTTGGGAAGATAGTCTAAAAGGCATTTTTAGAGATAAAATATAGGGCTGACTGTCTCAGAAAAACTGCCTGGACCCTATTCAGCAATCTTTACTTACTGCTTACTTTGGCTAGCTACACTAGGAGATTTGACTGGGTAAGGAGTGCTGAATAAGTCCCTGTATGAGGTAGTCCTTATTTCTGACCCATTTCTGACCCACATTATCTTACTTATTAGTTTATAATTATTTAAATATAAATATGTGAAATGCCAGTTAAAGTAGATGGCATAGGTGACGGGCTTATTATAAATACCTAAAATATACATAGTTTTATTCACTATTGCATTTCATTTATGTAGTGCAACTGACATCTTAAAATCTTAATAATAAGAGACAAACATCATACAAGGAGATATGGGGAATTTTTTCAAAGCATTGTTCTGGGTGTGAGATACATGACTCCTGTGTGACTAAAAACCTGTTCTGGACTGGAAAATGCATTCCATAGGACTTCAGAAATATTTTCTTGTTTAGTTTAAGCATAGAGGGCCAATTTCTGTGCTAATTTAGGTGCCATGCAATCTCATTGAAGTCAGTAGGATTGGGGGATTTATGTTGATTCATTATTTGGCCCAGTGTTTTCACAGCAGGATTTTTCCTTTTTTTCAGTATTTATTTTTAAATAACTGAAAAAGGAGAGAAATAACTCTAATCTTACATAATATTGGGCAAAGATGTAGAAACTCTGAAGTTTAGTACTATGGATACAGTGTATTCTTAACTGAGTTTCTTCTATCACCTTGCCTGGGTTTCTGCAGTGCAACAACCACCAGCTTTTTTGGGAGACCTATAATCAAGGTGTTATTAAAGCAAATAGTCTGTGTAGAGAATTTTCAGTTACAAGAATGGCTCAGAGATATGAAGATAACAATGGTCAGAAATTACAGATAGATACTGTCTATGAAAGGTTTTAGAATGATATTTTTCACAGGATACTACTTTGTTGATTAAACATTTTTTTTTAGTTGTATTCTTTACAATGATAAACCAAATAGTCTCATTTTCAGGGAGTTAACTACTAAATTTCATTTTTTTTTAAAAAAGGAGAAATAGTTTTTAATTTTGTGGAAGACACAAAAACACCTAAAAGTTAATTATATGTCAGAAAAGATAACAAAAAAGTAATCAGTTGGATATTATTTTGAATGCAATTTGTTTATTTTTTAAAAGAATGCTGAACTTTTATAGATAAATTATAATTTGTTGGTTATAAATAAAGGGGGTTGCAATGGAATGAATGGCAAATCTTTCTGAGAATTTAAGGGCCTGATTTCACAAGGTGCTGAGCAGTGTGTGATTGCTGCCAAGTGCTTTCACCATCCCTTGATGTCAATGGAAGTTGAGGACATAGAGCACTATTTAAAAGGTGGTCAGCATCTTTAAGATCAGACCCTAAAATACTGCTGTATCCTTGATCCTTTGTTACTGAAGTCAATGGTAGATTTGCTGTTGACTTCAGTGGGAGTAGGCTCAGGGTTTTAATTGGCTGGGTTTTTTAGTCCTTATTCAGGCAGAACTCCCATTTGTATCAGTGGAAGTTTGCCTGAGTAAAGCTTGCAGCAAAGTATGTCAATGAGATAAGCAGTATTTTATTTACCCAAAATGTGTAAAGAATGCATTCAGTTTTGTATCTATGAAATTCTTTACCTTTTCCACATTCATTGCTTTGAGAAGGGAAACATTGCTCTTGTGGAGAATTGACGTTTCATTTACTCTCATTGCAAATTTCAAAAGAAGTAGAAACTACTGGATGTGTGTGCACAATGCAATTATGTAAAGAGATCAGACAGATGTTAAAATTCAACATACTTATTGTCCTGCATTACAGTTGACTGTAGAGAATCTCTAGTCATGTATATCTGTTTTTGATACCTCTACAGAATAACTGTCCAGCATCCTCTGCCCAACCAATCAGAATGTAGGAAAATCTACAGATATGACGGAATCTACTGTGAATCTACCTACCAGAAGTATGTTGAAATCTGTGTGAGTCTTACCTCTGGCTCGTGCATTAGTGCTCGTGCTCTCCCGCTATCAGAAATTAAACATGTATTGAAACCTTATACTTCTATTTAAATGAAAAACCACTAAAACAGGGACAGAACATTGTTGTTTAATTCTTTGGAATTGTGCTCTAAAAGTTAAAAAGCAGATTAAAAAATCCTGAGACTTTATTAAATCTCTTCTGTATATTACAATAAACAAGCACTTATACAGTACAAAATCTAGGCAAAGTATATTGCACAGGTGTTTCACATCTTAGGGATTTGAAAGGTGTGTTATGTATAAATTAGCTGTCACTTTTTTCAGTCGTGTAATGGAATGATGAGTTGTAATTTGCATAATCCTTTAAGAAGTCAAATTATACTGTCATGTAGCAGATTTAACATGCTAGCTAGGATTTCATAGCTTTGCAGCTAATTAGTATGTACCTTACAGGACTGTTAAATTGGAGTTGTCCTCTTGCTTTGTCCGTTGCCTTTGTCCATTGCTTAATGGTACCTGCATTTCTGACTAACTACCAAATGTTACTAGTCCTTCTGATGAAAGTACTGTAGGTGTCTATTAATATGGGCAAGCAAATGTAACATGATTTGACTTTTATTACTTTTACAGTCCACAGAGTTTCTTTTTGAATATAGTAAGATTTATAATCTTTCATGATTAGATTCAATAATCCATTTCCAGTAAGAATTGAGAGAGATGACATTTTATAACTATATTATAGATGATTTTGTATTAATATTTTGCATTACTACTTTTCTGATTATTTTTATTGAATTTCCTTAATGTTTAATTTTTATGTTCTAACTATATTCCTGTTTTGTGGCATATTAAATCAGTTATCTACAAGGAGATAAAGAAAATACTACAATTGGCGCAATAGAAATTAATTTCCAGAAAAAATAGTGTTTACATTGTAGCTAGAGATTTCTTTGGCAAAAAAGCAATATTTGTTGTGTTTCTTCAGTTCATATTTCCCTCCAATTATTCTATAGCTTGTTGTCAATTTGATGAATTAATTTAGTAACTGGGGAAACCAGCACAGTAGTAAAAGTTGTAGCTATAGAGTGGATGAAGAATAGAATTAAGGTTTGTAAGAGAAGAATATAAAGAAGAATTAAAGTTTGCGATATTAGAACATAAAGAGAAATCAAGATTGAGCCAAAGATTTCCAAAGTGTTAATTCACTTGTTGAGCCACGATGGTAGTCTGGCTGAATGTTGAGTCATCTGGTCATCTTCCATTTTTCTGTTTTTAGAGTTAAATTATTTCCTTTTTATTCATGGTTAACATTGATTTATTGATCATTCTGTAGATAGTTTTTTAATCTGTGATAATTTTATAAGCCATCCATCCAGATATGACACTATATACGAGGGGTAATCAATTATTTTTTGTCAAGGTCCATTATTATTATTATAATAAAAATCAATAATGATAATAACTAAATAAAAAGATGTTGGGCTTCATTTAAAAGCGTCTGACGGTCTGGATTTGGCCCGTGGTCTGCCTATTGACTACTCCTGCTGTATAGTGTAGTCTGTTTTATTTGTTATACACCAGTTCAGTAACTATAAATGGTTAATGATTTCTTTAAGCATAATATTAGATTTGCCATCAGCGGTTCATGTCAGTTTGTAAAACTGACTTCATGATTCTGGAAACGGTGGCTGTGGAGATACAACTCTTGGCACAAGGTAGTGTATAGTAGTTTGGCCAGCTTTGATGGAGGTTGCAAGCACAATGATGGCTTCATTCAATGGCTTACGAATACTCTGATAGGCGTAGTTTTTAATAATAGATATCATTTGCAGTCAGCGAAGTTGCAGTAGATAGCAGACATGACAGCAAGAAAAGTGTCTTGGGTCTGTATTAATTACAGGCAAATATTGGCAAAATAGTCTCAAAATTTTAAGTTCGATGAAACAGTCAATATTATAATTAGTCTTGAAAGGATTAGATTTTTATCAGTTAATGTCAATAGCATTGATGCAGCCATTTACACGCAAACTATCAAAAAATATTTCCTTGGATAACAGAAATTTACAGCTTAGGAAGGTAAGAAAACTGCTGCTTGAGGAATTATTAGAGTTTGATTTAAGGATATTTGTATTTTGACATGCATTGTTGATAATTTGTGTGTTAAGTGTTATAAATCTTTAATTTTTAAATCTCAATGACTGCTATCATTAAATAATTATTGTTTGACCCCGGAATAATTTCCCACTGTGAAAATTTAAATAGATAAAAATAGAAATAATGTTTAAAACCCATAATTTTGTACAATTGTGAAAATTTAGATCAATAAAATCCCCAAAATGTTTAAAAATAAAATTGATGTTATCCATCAAAATTATCAAAAATATCATTTGAATTCTGCTAAGCCTAATTATAATTATTTAATTTAATATAGCTGATGTTGCTTATCTGAATTGTTATAAACACTATTGTGCTATTAATGTCACATAATAAGCATAGGTTTCTGGGGAAGCATGTAATATATTTCTCTCTATAGCAGTATGTAGCAGGTTTTGACTTTCCTCTAATGTTGATAGAATTTTTTCTATGGTTCTTTGGAGTTGTGATACTGTTGAGGATAGCGCATATACCGCATATTTAATTGCTGTGTGCTGTAATTTATATCTTTTTCATTGTTGATGTTATTGGAAATTCTTTCTTCAGATCCTATGATAATGTGTTTCCATTGACATTAAAATTTAACTACAACCATGGAAAACCTTCCAGTAAAAATGACAAAAGTTTAGATATGAATGCTACAAGCCGAATTTAAACTTTTGGTACTATGCAGGCATACGTTTTATGAGAGGTAGAATTTGGTTATTTATAGAGCGCTATTAAAATGTTCTGCCATAAACATTTATAAATCTTTCCATTGTCATACTGGCTGGTTTACTTTTTTTGCTAAATTTCAGTTACACTCTATAGTGATTACTTTCTATAGCCCTGATTCTGTGCACCTTTCATATCACAAAGAGTTAGGCCACTTGTGCAGAACTTTCAGTGAACAAGAGTCCACTCACTGGTGGAACAATGACTACTTCAGAACCTATATTGGGTAGCATAGGGCTGGCTCATCCTTTATGCAGCCGTCACCATTTTAGCATTCAGGAAAAAACGGATTTTGGGAAGGACACTGGATATGTGAGGAGTCAAGGCCATCACTCTCTACATGCTGTTTAACCAGAATAGCTACACAGTAGTCACTCTGATTTACTTCTGATGACAGCAGTACTTACTATTGTAGGTACTGCAGGATTGTCACCAAGCAGTGTTGCTTAAAACTACAAGACTACTAAGGGCCAATGCAGAATAGGACAGGACAGGAACCAGAGTGGCGTTTGGAGACTTACTAATGTAAATAGAATTTTTCCATCCCCTAAATGTGGAAAAAAAAATATAATGAGGTCCTGTGCTCTGAGGTTTACCCTGTACTATTAGGGTTGCCAACTTTCTAATCTCACAAAACCAAACTCCCCTGCCCTGCCTCTGCCCCTTCTCCGAGGCCCTGCCCCCACTCACTCCATCCCCCCTCCCTCTGTTGCTCGCTCTCACTCACTTTCACTGGGCTGGGGCAGGGGGTTGGGGTGCAGGAGGGGGTGAGGGCTCTGGCTGGGGAATGTGGGCTCTGGGGTAGGGCCAGAAATGAATTCAGGGTGTGGCAGGGGGCTCCATACTGGGGCAGGGGGTTGGGGTGAAGGAGGGGGTGAGGGCTCTGGCTGGGGGTGCGGGCTCTGGAGTGGAGCCAGAGATGAGAGGTTTAAGTTGCAGGAGGGGGCCTCAGGGCTCGGGCAAGGATTGGGGTGCAGGAAGGGGTATGGGCTCTGGTGGGACCAGGGATGAGGGGTTAGGGGGTCAGGAGGAGGCTCAGGGCTGGGGCAGGGGGTTCGGGTGCGGGAGGAGGTATGGGGTTGGGATGCAGGAGGGGGCTCAGGGTTGGGGTAGGGGGTTGGGATGTGAGGTGCAGGCTCTGGGAGGGAGCTGGGGCAGGGGGTTGAGGTGCAGGCTCTGGGAGGGAGTTAGGGTGCAGGAGGGGGTTCCGTCCTGCAGCAGAGGGTTTGGGTGCAGGAGGGGGTATGGGCTCCATCCGGGCAGCACTTACCTGAGGCAGCTCATGGTCAGTGGCACAGCTGGGCTAAGGTAGGCTCCCTGCCTGCTCTGGCTCCACACTGCAATCAGAAGCAGCTGGCATGTCTGGCCCTCAGGCGGAGGTGCGGCCAGGCAGCTCTGTGCTGTTCCCGGCCAATGGGAGCTGCGGCGTTCTGGTCGAAAACCGGACTCCTGGCAACCCTACGTACCATGAACCTAAGAGAAATAATTTTCCATAAATATACACAATACCTAGAGCCTTAAGTAGTCCAAGCTTTATTGTGAGAATTTATTGAAAAGGGTTGTAGCCCTATTGGACAATGCATGTGATTACATTTACTAAAGTCCCAGTGCATAACACTGAGTGTCTATGGTTCAAGGGATTACTTGTGTAAGAGATCTGTGTATAGTGAATATGCAGAATAACCTTTTCTGACCTAAATCCAGTATTAGTGTGTGTGAACTACTGACTGTCCTTTTTACCCATGCTTTTCTTTTACTGGTGTCTTGTGCCTAACTTTGACAAAAGTAACAATTTATGACATTGTATTTAAAGCTGTGTGGTCATATGTGCAAAATGATTTTGCAAAAAGGATGTTGCAGCACAAATTTCTGAGAGTAGTTGCACCATACAGTGATCATTATTAAAGTCTTTACAAGTACAACTCTACCCTGATATAACACGAATTCGGATATAACGGGGTAAAGCAGTGCTCCGGGGGGTCGGGGCTGTGCACTCCGGTGAATCAAAGCAAGTTTGATATAACGCGGTTTCACCTATAACGCGGTAAGATTTTTTGGCTCCCGAGGACAGCGTTATCTTGGGGTAGAGGTGTACTGCAATTAATAGTATTAAGAA